CCCCCACCACGGGGCACAAGAATCCATAACTTAGGCCCAGTATATCTGATAGTGTGCTTTCCATATGTTGTGCTTCCAATATGTTTGTCCAAAAGTAGGTTGTTCTCTCCTCTTTCCCTTATAAATATAGCCATAGTTTTCTGATTAACATACAGCCTCCTTAACTAATGATGCAGTACAACACGCGAGAAATAGAAGAGGCGCTTGAGAGACATCACATTGACACACAGGTCATCACCCAGCGATGCATATGCAGTGATACATCAATGGTACATACCTCTTGTGTCGTAGGAGCAAAACCTGAATTGCTAGGAAGGCTAGAAAGAGATGACAAAGCTTGGTCAATCACCCTTTTTACAGCTCTAGAGACCGCAGAAGCGATTGACCTTGATAGCTGGTCTGGTTGTGTTGCCATCTTTGTGATTACTCCCATGCTAGTAACCCACATGCCAAGTCACATGGATGTGCTGCGGTTACTTATTACTTATTACTTATTAAATTAAATCATGGTTTTACTGATAGAGCAGTTTTCATTTGAGTGTCGAAAGTAATTAGACAGTTACTTTGGTTTTGGTTTTGGTTTTACTACAGTTTGAGATTGGCTGAGTAGTCTAATTGGTAAGTAATTGGTTTGGTTTTGGTTTTACGACACTCAATTGAAAACCACTCTATCGAATAATGATTTATTATTTGGACTAAGGCTTTTCGTGGTTTCAAATAAGCGATTGAATTAACCACCATCTGCCGGACATCAAATAGTCAACGACTGAGCTATGATTTCAAATAAGTAAGTCGTGATTTGAAATAATTACCACAAGATTTGAAATCAGGATTTATTATATCAAATCATAACCGCACAATTTGAAACAATAATTTATTATTTCAAATCATTAACACATGATTTGAAATAAGAGTTTATTATATCAAATCATAACTGGATGATTTGAAATAATAATTTAGTATATCAAATCATAACTGCATCATTTGAAATCAGAATTTATTATATTGTAACATAAACGTATGATTTGAAATAATAATTTATTATATCAAATCATAAGCACATCATTTGAAATCAGGATTTATTATATCAAATCATAAGCACATGATTTGAAAGCAGGATTTATTATATCAAATCATTAACGTATGATGTCATATCACAAAACTTTATTTAGTAAATAACGAAAAAAAAAAGACAAAATTAAGCTAAGTCATTTTTTTTACAAACGGTGCCCCATATTTTCCCAGCCTAGAAACTGAAGGAGATTTTATTTTTCAGTTTTGGGTGCACTTCAGGGAGGCAAGAAAGTGAAAATTATTTGCCTACCAAATAAACTGCATACAGGAAAAGCTGCTAGGCAAAATATCTATTTACACATCTTCACATGTGTTTTTTAGTTGATTATCTTTGTTATGGCTTATAAGGGTTATATTTTTCAGATACCGTCCTCTGCGCTCACCTGGTAATATTTACTTTTTATTAAACTTCTTTAGGGATGCTGGTCCTAAGTGCCCAGTAGATAATGAGCGTTTAAGTGAATCACAGGTTAGTAAACTTTTCTTGGCCTAATCCAAACTAAACTGAAAAAAAATCACTCAAGCTTGAATCATTGGTTGTTTTGTGATTGGTTTAGCAATCCTACAAAATAATTATTGAACTCAAATGTTTTGGTGAGTTCAATAATTTACAGAACTCAATCAAACCAATAAAACTCAATTGGTTCAAATAAAGGGAAAATATTGATAAGCTGTATACATTTCAATAAAGTTGATCTTTATTGTTGTAAGAAATTGAAAATTTGATAAATAACAGGTAGAAGAGCATTGAAAGCATAGCAAATGAAACTGCCTTTGTGATGCAAATATTGTCACAAAAGTACCGGACAACTTAAACCTCCATTAAGACTGCATTTTGACCTGATTTTAAACCCAAGTTGAAAATTCTATATTTTGTTAAGTGTAACCCTCCCGTGTAATTTCGTAACTTGAATAATAATACTGCTTGAAGGAAAATATTCCAAATTTTTGGCTCCTCACACCCTGTCAGTCTAGTCCAAACTTTGAACAAAGTTTTTACGTACAGTACCGCTCAGAACCAAGTGAACATCGCATGCGCATTCTTAGCACACCCTTAATGCGTTAAAATGGCCTGCGTGTTTTTGCCAATGCGTTAGTGTTTGTTGTTCACAACCAATATTCTTTTGTGATACAGGACTCCAGCTCAAACAAATGCGTGAATTAACAAGCGCAGTTAGAAAATACAGCTTTGTACCTTTTCTACTGAAATAAGATGCTCTGATGTTGACAAGATGACAAAAAATTCAAACACTTTTTGCATCAAACCATCGCTAGTTCGCCTGAAAATTTGAACTCGTTCACCCAACTCGTTCAATTCATACTCATCAAAAATTTCTTTGTATCGGATGGAAATAATGACATATACGTCGACAAAATAAACAACAGCTTGAAAGCTAGACGATTTCAGTTAACCCAGCACCCAAAAACTGGAGAAAGTTATAAATTATGTGAGGAGGAAAAGACAGGGCTCGGAAAAATACTTGTCCGGTCGTCCAGGACAAGGATGTTTTTTTCTTGGGGAAGTACAAACTTTTTCTCCTCACTTGCCCACGAGCGAGAGTCCAGGTAAGCTGTCCTCCAACTTAATTTTTGATAAAGATTGAAACGAGTAGATTTTAGGCACATGGGTAATCAAGTGTTTCGCCAAGCGTTGTTTTGTTGATTACGTGACATGCGACTCACAGTTGAGAAGTGGTGACCTAGCACATCATCAAAATCTGCCCTGATCAGATTTCATTCCAGGAATAGCCGTGAAAGAAAATTATTGAAGTGCTCTTGCAGATGTGAAGACCGATAGTTTTACAGAAGATGTTTGATGCCTTGATAATTCCTTTTTTCACCGTTATTGTATAGCACAGGGAGTCAAACAAAACAATAGGCCCTTTGCAGCTGGGGTCACGTGATCAAATTTTTCTTAAAAATTTTTTGTATTATGGGCTATAACTAAAAGAATGCCAGAAATGGAAAGAGTGCATCAAAAATACCAAAATGGCCAAGTTTGAGACCCCAGGAAAAAACGAGTAAGTTTATACCATAGTTTGAATTTTCGGAAAATTTAGAGGATTCGTATGGAAAATGTTGCTGGAGAGCAAGGTCTTGCTCTCCAGTAACATTTTTCCATACAAATCTTCTTATTCTTTCAAAAATTCAGACCATCATACAATCTCATTCTCTGATGATGGGGGCCTCAAACTTGGCCATTTTGATATTTTCGACATGCTTTTTCCATTTCTGGCATTTGTTAAGTTATAGCCCATAACTTTATGAAAAGTAGGTCATGTGATGGCTTAGCTGCAAAGGGCCTATTGTGTTCCATTAATTGTTTTCTAGCTTATCTGGGACTTGAGGACACTTGTGCTTTGAGAAGAGATATCGTAAACCAACCGTTGAATCTTACTCTCCGTAAGACGAGCGACAAAAGTAACAAAATAAATATTAAACAAGATTGGAACTGGAATATTATTGTTGCATTGCATTCAATGATGCGCCAAGTTTTTATTTTCGATTTTCATCTTGAAATAACTTGTTTACGCGGCATTTTACAGCCCAATTTCAAGCGTTGCGAAAACTTCTTGATCACACCGCCTACTAGATACCTCAAACTTGATGGGCCTGTTTGTTCGAAAGGATGAAATATCTTATTAGCAATGGAATGAATGAAAACAAATCGCGTATGTAACAAATCCGGTTAGTGCGAACATCATGGAAGTTAATAACAGCTGGACGAGAGAAGTAAACATTTGTCGGTCTTGTCAGTTGTCTTGCCTGGTGTCGGTAAAAAAAAAATTCATCCTACTGCATTGTTGAATGCGTTATTTCTAATAATATTGTTTTATTTGAAACTGCAGAACATATTTTCACAAATGAATGAATTAAAGCAAAATGGTAAGGAACGATAGCGATTGATTTTATGATCTTGATCCAGTCCAAAAGAATTAGAAATTTCCCAGTGTTGTCTGTCTGTTGTCTTTTTCACAGCGCCGTTTGAAAGCCCCGTTATCTGGTTATCTTTATAAGCTGATTTCTTGAAATGCAAATCACTTTATTCGTGGTTGAATGAATCAGAATAAAATGGTCTATGTAACTGCAGCAATATTCAGCCGGTGTGAAAGAAGTAGAACTTGTCTGCTCCTTGAACAGCTTGAAAACACTTATTCATACTGAATGTTGTTTTTAGAAAAGCTCGTTAACTTTCCTTCACAAAGTATCAAAAGAAGCGAACAATAACCAAGCTCACACATACTAAAGCCTGGTTCTCATATGCTGCCGACATACCTGGGACATAGCCGCCGGCACGGCCTGGGACACCGTTACGGTATATGTGAACATTTATTGCCGAATCATAATCTATCCCAGGCATTGACTGCCGGCTTGCCTGCGAAGTTGAGTTGAGTTCAACTTCGCAGGCAAGCCGGCAGTTGTCAGCGGTTGTCGGCAATGAAAATATTTTATGTGAACATCATCTGCAGACGCAATGTACTCCAGTAAACGATTCGATCCATATTTATGGGTAAAATGGTTGAAACTTGCGCAGTTCGATTTGCATTTCGCGCAAATTTGAGTATGTCGGCGATTCATTGTAGATGCCCCGGGGACCCACTGGGACAGATTGCCGAACTTTGTCAATTGCAACCGGCGACTACGCTGCAGGTAGGTCGGCGGGATATGAGAACCAGGCATACCGCCAACATACCTGGGACATAGCTGCCAGCACAGCCTGGGACACCATTACGGCATATGTGAACATTTATCGCTGAATCATAATCTATCCCAGGCATTGACCGCCGGCTTAACTGCGAAGTTGAGCTGAGTTCAACTTTGCAGGCAAGCCGGCAACTGTTGGTGGTTGTCAGCGATGAAAATATTTTATGTGAACATCATCTGCGGACACAATGCACTCCAGTAAGACGATTCGATCCACATTTACGGGTAAAATTGCTGAAATTTAAGCAATTCGATTTGCATTTTGCGCAAATTTGAGTACGTTGGCGATCCATTGCAGATGCGCTGGGGACCCACTGGGACAGATCGCTGAACATTGTCAACTGCAACCAGCAACTACGTCGCAGGTACGTTGGCGGGATATGAGAACCAGGCTTAAGGTGGCTGAACACAGTTTTTGATACCTGTGTTTCATTCACCTTTTTCTCTAAAACCCTTGATCTCTCGGTCGCCAAAAATGGCAGCAAGCA